TAAAGTGACTGCTTCTCCTGAATGGCTGGTGATATTGAATGGCGTTTCCACAACATAACTTCTTACCATATCTAGTTGATTGCATCTGAAATCAATGCCACTCTTCCTCCAGTATGGACACCACATTGGCTATCATGGAAATCTTAATATTATTAATATTCTTCCTGAATGACTGGTCGTATTGATAAAAAATTTTCTATGAAAGACTTCTTATGATGTCAGGTTGGTCTGAAATAAAAATATTTGGCAATCTGAAGTCATATTTGTGCTCGATATGGCCATCTTGAAAATCTTGTTATTGCTACTTTTAATTTTCATTTATTTATCCAAAATGAAAATTTTGTTGATATCACTCCTTTTGAATGGACAGATTTATTGACTTGGGATTTGCACAACAAGGAACATAAACTTGTGCAGTTGTTACATATTGTATTATGTGTTTGACCTTTGTCCATGATTGAGGATAGAGTTTAGTGTGTACCAAATTTATGTTTGTTTGTATGTTGTAAACAGATGTTTACTTGAATATGAGTTAAAGTCATGGCCTTGATTATTACCATAGCAAGTTATGGAGGTGAACTTGTTTACAGTTTACTGTAATTTTCCATTATAATGGTTGAGTTTTCTTCAGAAAATGCTGTTGTGACATAGGTCAAGTGGGGATGTGTATAAATGTTTTGTAAATAAAGTCTTTATTCTTTTCATAATATCAGTCTTTGGGAATCTGTGATCAGAATGTTTAGTTTTACTAAGATATAATTTGAGAACAATCACTTATTTAATTTATTATTTGGCAGTACAAACTGTTCAATGACATTTTGGAATAAACATTGCTTTCGGATTATCATGAATTCATTTACTGTAAAGATATTCTGGATTATATCATCATGATACATCAAGATTGTTGGTAATTATTGCATGCAAGATTAGGAATTGGTTTTAGAATATTCTCTACTATTGATAGAACATTTAGAAACATTCCAGATTCACAACCATTGTAGCTACCTTGAAAATCTCATTAATATTGCTTCTGAAAATATTTGATTGAAAGATTCTTGTGATACATGGTTGGTCTTTAAGGAAAATGGTGCTTTTTACTTAAAGAGACATGTTATGATATTTGGTTGGTCCCATGCTGTATTCACAAGTATGATTGGGTTTTTATCCAACTCATTTTCAGAATATTTTAAATGAATATCTTGAATGATGACACCTGTGTTTTGTTCATTTTAAAAATATATTAAAGATAAATTAAAGAAAATGTAGCATGTGTGTATGTCATGACATCTATGCAAATTTAGTGATTTTCAAAACCATGATACCAAATCAAAGGTTAAAGGTTATAACAGAATTTGTATTGCACTTATGAACAAGTTGATTTAATCATAAAAGTAAAATTTAGTTACCATATGCAGTACGTTGTGGTAATGCTTAAAATATCAGATAATTGTTAACTGTTTAGTAGATAAAGAGAATAAAAGGATGAAAAGAATGGACTTATCTTGAATCCAAAAAAATTCTTTTTAGCCAGTAGAGCATTAGTCCCGCTGAGACTTTTTTTTTATTGTGAAGCTATAAAAGCTATAAAAGTTGAGGTTAAGTTAAAAATGGACATTAAAGCCTGTGAAGGTGAATTCACACTAAGAGCATGGAAACATTGATTTGTGACTATTTTTAAATGAAGTTTAATATATTACATTTGACATCAATAAATATATGATTTTTGTCTTACCCTGAGCAGGTAAAACCTAAGTAAATATACTTTTGCAAGTCAAGACAAATATGCCCCTGTATTACCTACAATCTGTATGCTATGAAGGCATCAAGATAAATCTAACTTTTGCAGTATTGTGTGAAAGAGGTCTTGCTGGCAGTTGCCGTACATGCCCTGAATGTCTTTATCTCTATTCCACACAAGGATTATTGCATATGTTTATATGCTGGTATCTTAGCCAGGAAGAGGAAGAGAAATAATCTTTGCAATATTTTGAACTTTGAACATGGAAAGCTTTTAAAAGTGTACAACTTTACTGTCACAGATTTAATTAGACTATGAATTTGTGAACCCAGATAGTAAAATCTTGATGGATCAATTACTGATATTGGATTTAAATGATTCTTGGATGCAGTCTTTGATTGTCAGGTACATGTATCTACAGTATCAGGTTTGGAATTATGTTGTGGTCTTAAAAGAGTTGTGCTCTTAGGAGAGTCAGTCTTATAGATAGATTTGACTCTTCAAATATAATGACAAAATTGATTTACTGTATATACTTGCTTATAAGACAGGTCCAACTGCATAGACCAATATCTGTTATTGTGGAATGCACCAGCTGATCAATGTTCATGCAGTTTGTTAGTTGCAATCAGTCGAACAAAAAATATTGACCATTATATGCTAGTGCATTATGCACTGACAGATCAGAATCTGTGTTTGCAGTTGGACTCGATTTATCAGCAGGTATTTGATGGTAAAGAAGTGGTAAAGTTTCAGCCCTTGTAGATAATTGCTGTGTAAATACAGCAGTTTTCAGGACTTTACTGAACACAGATGTTTTGGAATGCATTTGATAGTAATCTTTAGGTAAATTCATGCATTTTAAAATTTCATTTACAGTAGATAAACTGTAGTAATAAATACTTCCTACATGTGCCCAATTTTTCACCAGTGTTGTATAAACATGTTTTGAGTATTACACACTTAGTGTTCTGTTTTTGCTATTAACTCAGGTATATATAGTAAAATTCCAGGAATAGACTCTAGCTGTTCAACACAGAAGTTGATGCTGTAATATTGTCCAGTGGAATGTGGTGCAGGTTTTATTTAGGTGCAGTCGTTGGGCAGAGTCTATTGCAGTGTTCAGGCTTATAAAAACTTTTATTCATCTGTTTCAGATGTCAGGTACATTTAAGTTAGTTTAGGAAAGAGCCAAGTATGGCGCTGCATAAAAGCACATTATCCGTGTTGGAGAACAGTGTTGGTGTGAGCGATGCTGTTCTTCTTGACCCAGTGACAGAAGAAGCTTTTATTCACAATCTCAGGGAACGCTTCAGACATCGCCAGATATATGTAAGTACGTTACATGCATGTAGACATTTATTATTGGTTTGAGGATATAGAATAGTGTAATATCGTCACATGCATTCAGTGACAAGATAAAAATTCATTTTTATTTTGGACTACATAGTTTATGCATCAGAATTGACTTCCAATTAAAAGTTGCACATATCATAAAGTTGGTTCAAATTTCCAGCTATCTACCCTTTTGGATGATAAATGAGAAATATATCCTGGTTTCAGTTACCAATTTTAGTTGCGATTTTCTCAGGTTCAACAAATAGGGGTCAGTTGTTTTGTATTTTCTATTTGGTAAAATGATCCATGATGGTTTGCAAGTTATCAAAGGCTTGTGAGTTATCAGAGGCTTGGAGTAATCTAGTTTTGATATTCAAAGAACAATTTCTACATTTCTCTAAAAGAATAATATGCAAGGGCATGGTCATTTAAGATTGTTGTTGTTGTTGTTGTTGTTGTTGTTGTGCTTAATGCCATTTTTCAGCACACGATAGGCTATTCATGGCGGCCAGTAATAATGGTGGAGGAAGAAACCGGGAAATCACTGGAAAGAACCACGATCTACGAGAAGCTACTGGCAAGCTTTCTCACATATCCACATTCGCCGAATCCTAGACTCGAACCCACACAGACAGAGGTGTGTACAGTAGGAGGAAATGGTGATTTGAAAGAAGTTGACTTGAAAACCATGCATGCCAAGTTTTGTATCTGATCTCATTCTCGAATGTGTAATGTCTGCATGTCTTTATGCTTTAAACATGAAGACTTACTGTGTCAGCAGAAAAACTAAAATTATTGAGAAATAAAGCATTTGGCATCACAGAGAATGTATTGCATGGTTTCAGAGTGAAGGTAATGTATTTAAATAAAAAATAAAAATGTGACCAAATATTATTTGCATTTTTTAATATCTGATACTGTAATTTTGAATGCTTAATTACCATATTTTGAAATGCTCTTTAAAGACTGTGTTGTTGCTTTTGAAGGCAGAGTGCTCTTAACAAATTCAGAACATTCATTTCCACTTGGAAATAATGGTCGGTTTATATCTCATGGTGTTTATGCATTTTATGCAGACTTTAACAGCAACATTTAAGTTTTATTTGTTTCATAACATCAGATTAACATAAAGTACATTCATTGCACCAAGTTATATTCCTTTATAGCTCACCTCTCACCTCTATAAAGTAGAGGTAATGTTTTTCTAACTTTTGGCATTATCATTGCAGATACACAATGCACTTGTACACTCTCCCTGAATGTCAGCTATTTTTTCCTTTCTATCCTAGGCAGCTGTTTTAAGTGATGCATAGCATCCCCCCCATTACTTTTCTTTGGAGTAGGATGAGGAGGAAAACTTTCTGCATATGATTGTTGACATTTACTGTACATTCTTAGTTAAGTTTTTGTGTTAATATCAGGATTTTTTGCACTTTATATATTCTTTATTACCTAGAGTGATGAAACTTGGCAGGTGGATGCCTCTTGAGGAGTAGGTAACTTTGACATGTTTCCTGCTTCACTCACTTTGGTTATGTTTTGGTTTGTTATTAATTTATTTCTCAAACTCTGTTAATGTTACAATTGAAAACTATATGATTCTCTGCATCCCAATAAATACCACACCTCAGAGGAAGGTAACTGTGACATACATTTCATATTTGACTGGTTTGGTTAAGTTTTTGTATTTAGTACATAACCAGATAGGTTTTTAGCACCCTATATACATACTGCTTATACACCACTCCCTCGATAACTCGCGGACATTGGGGTCCAAAAACATCGACCGCGATATAAGCGAGGGCACGAGTTATCAAGGGAGTGGTGTACCAAGATTGATAAAACTTGGTGATGCGATGAATTTTGATGAGTTCTAAACACTGTTTATGCCAGAATCATCAAACTAGGTGGTTACATGCATCTCAGCTCATCCTCTCCAGTGGCCTTGTGGTTAGAGCATCCACCTCAGATGCGGGAGGTTGTGGGTTTGATCCCAGCCTGAGTCATACCAAAGACTTACAAAAATGGTACTAACAGCTGCCTCGCTTGGCGCTCAGCATTAATAGGTTGGTGTTAGGACTGGTTGGACTGGTGTTTGATACTATGACTGGGTGGGACATCATGCTACATGTCTGCGGCATGATGCCTCAGTGCTAGACATCACTATAAACTGCTACACTGCAGACATTCTTTTTTATTGTTTATGTACAGTATTTTGTGTCCTTTCACAGTCAGTATGTGGGTGGATTGGCTGGGTGGGTAGATGGTATCACTATGTTTACACCATACTGGCAATACAGTGCCAATTCAAAGTTCAAATTGTAAATTATAAAAGGATTCAATGTTCTAATATAAAGCAAAATGATTGCAACACAATCTGTGGTTAGAAAATATTCAATATCACTTTAGTCTGAATTTATTTTTTTTTTTATAATATTTACATTGGCTACTGGAAACTAGGAAAGTAGAAGTAACCTATGTTGATTACACTTTCTTTATCAGATAGAGCCAGGATAATGTTGAATACATTAAAATCCTTTTGTTATCAAGTCATTAAGACTAGTATATTTTGTGCTCCCACCAATATGTATGGAAGGGGAACATCATATAGTCCACATCCCTCCAATCTGTCACACAGCATCACATCATATCATGACTTGCATGTTGCTTAGTTACTAAGATTCCCCGCCCCCATATTAATCTCTATTTGACCAAACTCAATATGTGGGTATACAGTGACATTAAAATAAAATCCTGTATCTATTATATTAGATTCAAGGTCAAAAGCATGACAAGGAATTTGTAATCATTCTGATATTTTGTAACTTCCACATCTAAGAAATTAACGTTTGTTACCAAATTTGATAGTTTGTATTTTGTATAGTGTGTTGAAGATGGCATTTGATACTCTGCAGTTATAAAGAATAATAGGATGGAATAATTGGACTTTGGATTCCTGGAAATTCGGTTTAGTCAGCAGAGTATCAGTCACTCTGGGGACTCTTGTTGTACTATATACTTTTGAGTATCATTGTTTTGTATACATTTATGTAGTTATAAATGTACCTATGTGCAAGTGTTTCTTAGATGTGATATCAGGCACAATAGAAAGAAGGCCATCATACTCTTTTTGATATATTGGATAATAAATAATTGAGCATCTGCAAATTGTTTGTTACAGACATACATAGGAACAGTGGTTGTGTCAGTAAATCCATACCAGTCTCTGCCCATCTACAGCTCTGATATTATTGAAGAATACAGGAGCAGGAACATCTATGAGTTACCTCCCCATGTGTGAGTAATACTGTGGCATGCTTGCTTATTAGGCTATCTCTGTCTATACATTTACCATCTTGTTTATTCTGATATCTGTGCCTTTTTTTAAATTTTTATCAGATTTTAGCAAATCAGATTCTACAATGAGCAAACATTGCACGTTGATAATAATGTTGTTTGTAAGGTCTACATCATTACACTATATTGTTATTATATTATCTGATTTTAAAATACCTAATTTTCTGTCTGATGTATTATCACTGATGATGATTTTTTGGCTGCAAAGAAAAATATTACTGTCATGTTCAGTCAAATGTAGCTCATGTATTTTAAAGTTAGAGTGTCAGTAGATTTATTTAAGATGGCCTAATTCCTTTCTCAGAGGAGACAGTGTAGAGAGTCTTGCTGAACTCAGTAATCCAAAGAGCAATAAATAATATGTGATTATTTTAGGACATGTCGGACCTGTGACCTGATTTTATTTGATTACATTTAAAACGTAATACATTTTGATATTGCCTCGGACCTTTTGGAAACTAAACTGTCAGATGGTAGTTTTTAGGGCTCCATGTCAAATTAGTCCTACCCATGCTCACAGGTTTTAAATAAAAGAGAGGACTTCATATTGGGGAAATGGCTGGGGTTGTCCTGTAGGTGCACACAATAATTGCAGTATTTCATTGCACTAATTGGGTTGTTTGTGGATTGCCACATTTGCATATGCTGTAATGTATATAAAACATGATGTGACTGGAGAGAGATTGCACCATTTTTGTACATGTGTATGCATTGGTTTTGTATCCCTGGTTAGTTTTGTGCATTTAGTTAAGTTTTTTTGTATACTGTATACATGGATTTATGACTCTTGGAGAGGGGATGTATTTTGATGAGTAATACACTTTCTTCATAAAATTAGGCTACTGTGACCCATATTTCATGCATTATTCACTTAAATTTTAACTTTATTTTTCAAGCCACATTCATGCTAGCATCATCATGATGATTCAGAGATCTCAATTAGTACCATATACTTATGTAACAAAATCATCAATGTGACCTATATTTTACAGCTTGCTGGCATGTATTAAGTTTCTGCATTTAGCTCATGAGCAGTTTTTTTTTTGCACCCTGTACATACTGTTATAACTAGTTTCATAAAGCTTCATGAGTGATAGTGATGCATTTTCATCACAAAAGAAGGTTACTGTAACCCAAATTTTATGTTTCAATGGCTTGATTATATGTGTTGTGTTTTAACTGTTAATGACTAGATGACTTTATATATTGATATTGATTTTTTTTGGGTTAAGTTGATAACCAGCAAAAAGTTTTTCATGTCTTATGAACATTCTGTCATATCTACAAATCTAGAATCTTGAAACATGTTGAGACTGAATCTTGATGAGGAATATTTCTGCCTCTGCCCTTTTTTTCAGTAGTAGGTCATTATGACCCATATTTTATGCTTCTCTGACTTGAATTTTGAGCTGGATGTTCATTGCTCAGTTCATGTTAAAATTGTGAAATTGATGTTGATATGCATTAAGCACAAAAGCAGTTCATTGTGACCTCTATTTAATTGTTACTAGCTTGGATTAAGTGTTTGTCTTTAGGTCATGACCAAATACATGAACTATCAAGAATCATGAAACTTGGTGATATGTGCATCATGATGAGCACAGCTTTCACATTTCAGCAGTGGATCATTTATGGCAAATGTTCTATGCTTCATTGACTTGGGTTTAGTTTTGTGTTTGATGTTGCTTTTTCAGGCTTTGTTCATGTTAGATTTTCATGAAATTGATGTTGACACACATCTCTAAAACATTACCTTGCATTAGCACTTTTGGACACCTCTACTTCATTTCAATGAAAGTGTCTTTTTCTACCTCGAATCTGCAATCCAATTTGCATACAACTATATATGTGTATCGGTGCACCAGCCATCTGCATGGAAGTGCATATTCATGGCTATGGTCAATATTGACCATTTTGCACAGGTTTTCATATTGTTGGGGAATAAGCCCTATTTGAACCTCAACCAGACAGCATTCCATGCCATTGTCCACTGACAGTAGAATACGTTCTTGTCAATTGTATTGATTTTCATGCTGTGATGCACAAAATGGTTTGATGACAACTACATTAAGGAACTATGATGAAGTACCACCTGAGTAAACTGTGGATATATTGAAAAAAATGCATTTTATATAAAACATTTTGACCATATTTTTCAAAGCAGTTTACATATGTTACCTTTTATCTCTTATTTTTGTAGACTTTTTACAGAATGTTAGCATTATCATGTGATATATTTTACCATTTATTATATGCTAATTTTTTTCCCTGTTTACTTTACATTGTCAGAATCATTCAATATTCACCAATATTGAACACCTTCATATTGTACTCCTCACACTTGATACACGTGAGCACACGGTATGCTAAGAAGTTAAAAGGTCAGGGGGATCTATATGTGCATGAATACTATTATTGTGTATTGAAGTAATCTTTGATTGTGAACTTTATTATTTTAATAATAAAATAATAAATTTATTATTATATGCTCATTTTTTTTTTCTCCGTTAACTTTACATTGCCAGAATCATTCAATTTTCCCTGCTATTATACACCTTCATATTGCACTCCTCGCATTTGATGGATGTGAGCGCGTGTTATGCTATGAAGTTAAAAGGTTGGTAGGTGGAGCTATATGCACATAAATACTATTATTGTGTACTGAAGGAATATACAATTTTGAACTCTATTATTTTAATAATAAAATAATAAATATTATTAAATATATGTGGTTGTGAATTTTGTTATTAAGTCTTTGGTAATGAAACAAAAATGAGCATATAATAAAAAGGTTACTACATTTGAATTAAAAAATATAAACTTGTTTTTTCAGATGAATAAACTGCACTCCCAAGGTCATGCAGTATAGCTAACCGAAAAACTTGTTCATATTTTCCCATACAAATGTAGTAACCTATAAATACTTAATGCTTACATATATTTGTAAGGGTTTATCATCATAGAGCTTTTGTTCTGTTTAGTTTTACATTCTCAAAACATTTACCTTTACTTAGTTCCACTGGACTAAGTGGTTAGAACTTCTATCCAGAATGTGATAGGTGGCAGGTTTTAAACCCCATAGAATCATAACAGAGACTCCTAAAAATAGTACTAGCATCTGCTTTACTCAGCATTAAGAGGTTAGTTCAAGGACTGGTTGACCTGGCGTCAGGCAGGGTGGGACATGATGCTACATATCTTGGGCATGATGCCCCACTGCTAGATATCACTATAAACTACCACACTGCAGACTTCGTAGTAAAACTAGCAATATGAATAAAATTGTTGAAGCTATGTTAAAAATCTGAGTCACACACAGACAAACCTTTAGTTGGCACAATATTGCCACTGTTGGCCTGAGATGTCATAAAGTGCTTCTGCATACATATGTACATAATTTAGCAGGTTAATTGTATGTTGTGTATATTACAGTTAATTTTCTGTTGTGCATGTTAATGAGTATGGGAGTTAGACAAATGGACTACATGCTGCCTGTGGTCATAGATGAACTAGTCATTGTAATTATTGATGCATGAACTATGTTTGTAGTGCTGACTTTCATTCCAGTGTTTTTCAAAGCCATTAACTCTAACCATGATGTAGTGTAATAATATCTATCTTTTGAAGAAGATTTTAAAAGCATTGATTT